AGGTGGAGAAGTATCTTTGGTATTGCTCCAAAGTTTGGTTAGTCCTCTCAGTTTGCCCATTACTCTGTGCAAAACCCTGAATATCGAAGTATATCTCTCTTTGCTCATCATCCACAAAGATCTCCAAAATTTGGATGTAAATTGTACCCCCCCCTGTCAGAAACTATATTGTTGTGTATCCCGTGTAGTCCTACTATCTCCTTAATTTTGGACAGTCTATCCACTACCACCAGGATGGTGGTGAATCCCTCAGAGGGCAGTAAGTCCACAATAAAGTCCATCATCTTCCAAGGCTGTTCAGGAACTGGCAGGGGTCTTAGCAAGCCCCAGGCTCTGGTATGGCTGCCCTTATTGCGTAGACAAGTTGCACAGGAGTTAACATACTCTTTACAGTCCTGTCTCAGGTTGGGCCACCATTAGGATCTTTGGACAAGTTCAGTGGTTTTCCGTACCCCGAAGTGACCTGCAAGGAAGTGGTCTTGGCATATCTTAAATATTTGTGGCCTGACTTCTTGGGGAATGAAGATTTTGTCCTCATGCCACAAGAAATCCTCATGCTTCCTTAAGGATAATCTCTCAGACCCGGCATAAGAAAGTCAAGCTTGTTTAATTGATGCTTTTAGATCAAGCTGAATGAGTAGGAAATTATGTGGAGATAAAATAGTACTGGGAGCAGCTGTTTGAGGAGTGTCTGGGAACATACGGGACAGAGCATCTGCTTTCCCGTTTTTAGACCCTAAACGGTATGTTAGATGAAAATTGAACCTTGAAAAGAATAAGGTCCATCAAGCTTGTCTTGGTCTTAACCGTTTTGCGGTTCGAAAATATTTCCAAGTTCTTATGATCAGTAAAAACCATGATAGGGTGAGCAGCGCCTTCAAGAGGAAGCGCCACTCTTCCAATGCAGCTTTATTGGCCAGTAATTCGCGGTCCCCCACATTGTAATTTTTCTCCGGTTGACTCATCTTTCGGGAGAAAAAGGCCACTGGGTGCAAGAGAGCCTTGGGCCCCTGACATTGTGAAAGGATTGCTCCTGTGGCAATCTCCGAGACATCGACCTCCAAGGACAAAGGGCAGAGTCGGGTTGGGGTGCTGTAGCACCCCAGCAGAGGTAAATAGAGTCTTCAGCTTGTCAAAGGCCCCTTGAGCTTCCGGAGACCACTGGAATCAGGTATGTATCCGAGTTAATTGGGTAATGGGAGCAATGATGGAGGAAATGTTCTTGATAAATCTCCTGTAAAAATTGGCAAAGCCCACAAATCTTTGGATACCTTTCTTATCGGTGGGGGCCGGCCAGTTGGTGATGGCAGTACCTTCTGGGGGTCCATAGAAATGCCATCAGTGCAAATGATCAAGCTCAGGAATTGGATTGATAGTTTTTCAAATTCGCATTTCTCCGCCTTTGCATATAATCCATGCTGTCTTAGGGTATCTAGGACTTTTTTGACATGCACTTTGTGGAGTTCCAGGGTGGCAGAAAAGATAAGGATATCGTCAAGGTAGAATATCAAGAAGTGATCCAAGAATTCCCGGAAAATGTCGTTCAGGAGGTGTTGAAAGGTTGCAGGAGAGTTACACAACCCGAAGGGCATAACCAGGCACTCGAAGTGCCCAAAGCGGGTTCTAAAAGCTGTCTTCCATTCATCTCCCTTGCGGATTCTGACTAGGTTATAGGTGCCCCGGAAATACAGTTTTGTAAATATTCGGGCATCATGGAATCTTTGGAAGAGCTCCGGGACCAGAGGGAGCGGATAACGATTTTTGATGGTTACTTTATTTAGTCCCCGGTAATCCACACAAGGCCTGAGTGAGTGATCCTTTTTCTCCACGAAGAAGATTCCAGCACCAGCAGGGGAAGAAGAGGGGCAAATGAACCCCTTCTTAAGACTCTTATCAATGTACACTCTTAGAGCCTCCAACTCAACTTCGGATAATGGAAAAATTCGCCCAAAGGGAATCTTTGCCCCTGGAAGGAGTTCGATAGGACAGTCATATGGCCAGTGAGGTGGTAGCATGTCTGCCTTCCGTTTATCAAAAACATCCAGGTATTCATGGTAGGCTGGAGGCACAATTTGACTGGTGTCAGGCACCGTTTGAACGGTCAGACAACTGGAAAAGTCTGAGAGTTCAGGGGGAAAGCAATGTTGTAGACCGTAGATGGAGGAAAAAGAAATCTTTCCTGTAGGCCAGTCCACATGAGGGTTATGGGCCCAAAGCCACGGTATTCCCAGGATGATCGGGAACATGGGGGAGCACAAGATGTCAAAGCAGAGAAATTCTTGATGGCCTGAGTCTGTGGATGTCAAAATAGGAAAAGTCCCATCAGCTAAATGGACTACGGGATTTTGTTTTTTGTCTCTCAGTGGAACCTGCAACTTCTTTGCTAGGGTGATGTCCAAAAAATGTCTGCAAGCCCCGGAATCAATGATTGCTTGGAGCTTGACTTCCCTTCCCGCCACCTGCAACAGGATAGGTAGAACAAGGTAAGCTGGTAATGATCCGGAAATGTGAGACTAAATAGCGCATGGAGGGATAGACTTACTAGGTCTTATGGGACAATTTCGTAAGAAATGTCCAGCCGCTCCACAGTAGAGGTATAGGTTGGACTGTCTCCGACGTGTCTTTTCATCTGGGGACAAGGAGGAGCAAACTAGGCCCATCTGCATAGGTTCAGTTTCGGCAACAGGAGCAGGTGGCACAGTGGGCAGAAGAGCAGAAAAGGAAGGCACCTTGGGTAGCATCCAGGAGGGATGGTAGGAATTGGATCTTTCCGATCTCCGTTCCCACAGGCGACGGTCTAGCTGGATGGCCAACTGGATGAGGCCTTCAAGGGAGGTAGGAGCCTCGACTCTGGCTAATTCATCTTTCAGTCCTTCAGAGAGACCAAGCCGATACTGGTATCTGAGGGCAGCTTCATTCCAGCCTGTGTCTGCTGACCATTTACAGAATTCAAACGTATAATCTTCCACGGGTCGGCAACCTTGTTGGAGGGAGTGAAGAGCAGCTTCTGCTGTGGCCATGCGTTTGGGATCATCATATAGTTGGGACATGGCATTGAAAAAGGTAGTAACATAGTTCAAAACTGGACTCTTTTGCTCCAGGAGGTGATGTGCCCAGGACTGAGGTTCATAAGTAAGTAACGAGATGATGAACCCCACCTTCACAGACTCTAAAGAAAAAGTTGTGGGTTGAAGTGCCAAATATAACAGACATACGTTTTTAAACATCCTGAACTTTCGACGATCTCCAGAAAAGCATTCCAGGACTGCTACTCTTGGCTCTGGTGGAGGTAGCATTACGGTGGGAGCAACTGCAGGGCCTTCTTTTAAAGAAGCGGAGGATGCAGAGGGTGCCCTGGGTGGGTTTCGATCGGCAAGAGCTGGAGGAGTGGCAAGATTCTGCAGGCAACCTTCTAATTGGAAATAGTCTTCTTGTAGGTTTTTGACCGCATGTGTGAGGGCGGCAACCTGCTGGCACAGAGCCTCTATCGCGGAGACGCCTCTCTCAGCCTCTGACATTATGGCTGGATTATGCTGTCACGTACCTGACTGGAGGCTGCAATAGAGAAAGGGCTCCCCTTACGGCTAAGTGCAGTGGAGGTCGAAACATGAGGTGCAGTGCCCAAAGAAGCACGGGTTGCCAGTGGTGTTGCTGCTTGGAAATGTCTGATGAGTTGGAACCCGTAGGTGCTCCAGTTGCAGGAGGAGTTTCTCCAGAGAACACATGGCGATCCCGGAGGATGGGTAGAGTAGTTAGTAGCCAGAGCAAGGATCAATATGGAACAGCAGAAAAGAGCAATGTCAGGATCAAGCCAGGATCATACACAGAGTAGCAGCAGACAGGAGCTAGGGCAGGATCAAGCCAGGGTCATATACAGAGTAGCAGCAGACAGGAGCAAGCCAGGATCATACACAGAACAGCAGACAGGAACAAGGTCATGATCAAGCCAGGTCGGTAACAGGAAATCAGCAGGAAACTCAGGAACACAGGAACTGGAGGGGCTGACGATAATCCAGAAATCACTGAGCAGAGCTGCAGTACTTATAAAGGCCACTGAGTGTCCGCAATTAGTGCACACTGCGTGTGCTGGTGTGTTTTCGTGCATAGGAATGCTTTATTACGCGTCGCCCGCCTATGCGCATGCGCACTTCTTTGCACGAATTGGTGTGGCCATATTGCACATTGGTGCATTTGCCTGGGCTTCCTTGTCTTTTCCTCTGACAGTTCCCCCCCCTCTGATTGCAGCTGCTGACTCCTTTTATATGGAGTCTGCCTTCACCACCTTCGTAGCCCTGATGAAGTCATGTGACTTGTGACGTAACTCGTAGGACGGAAGTGTGGTGACGTCATTACGGTACGGACGGCAGCCGCCATCTTGGTACACCCTGTGCTGTTACAATATAGTGATTTCTTTCTGGGTCTGCAGACCCATGTACTTTTTGTGAGTAGTTCCATTGTTTACTTACTAATAAAACCTTTTACATACTACACTATGGGCTAGCTGATTATATTTGATTATATATTGTATATATATATATATATATATATATATATATATATATATATATATATATATATATATATATATATATAAAATTTTCCACTCCATTTGATGGCCCCTGGCCAGCATTTGTGCCAAATGTATTCTGTCATTTCCCTAATTTTTTTTGTATTTATTTATTTTTTTGTGATTATTCACTCATTTATCAGCAGCTTATGTGGTATTGTTTAATTAGGTTCAACCTTAGTAGCGCAGCACCATTTTTTCTCACTTATTACTCTAGGTGTAGCAGCCACTTATAGAGGCCTTTCATTTTTGTGATTGTGAGTGGTTATATTCTCACGTGTTTTCTTTCTTGTGATGAGTTAAGTATTCCTGCTCATAAAGGAAAATAAGTATACCACAAACACAAAACTGTAAGATTTGTAACTGTTAAGAGAAGACAGAGAAACAATACATCTTCGATTTTTCAATTCTGTTTGTTTGTCTTGTTGCCTAGGGTCTTCCCGAAAGCTTGTGTGACCAGACTTGGTGGATGGAGCAACTTTAATTGCACATACTCCTGCAGCTTTGTTCTGGACCCTGAGGATCCCCTTTTCCAAAGGATTGGGGGACTTTTTATGAGTAAGCTCATCCAAGAGTATGGAACTGACCATGTTTACAATGCAGACACCTTCAATGAGATGACACCAACTAGTTCTGATCCCTCCTATTTGTCTGCGGTCAGCAATGCCATCTTTAAATCTATGGTCAATGGTAAGGCCAAAAAAGAAAAAAGTAAAATGTTTTATGGTTAGCTATTTATGTTGCTGTTAGTACTGCAAAAATATTTGATTGTGGGTACACTCAAAAAGTGCCACATCCTTATTTGTAAATAGAACAAACACTTTTATTTTTTTTTGGCATATATGTAACAACAAATAGAAAAAAAAATATATTTTGCTAATCGTCACTTTTTTAAATTAACATGCAAATGTTAAAAAGAAAAAAACACATATACGGCTTAAAAATGACTGTGTATCAACACCTATAGTGACATAGCTGTCAACATATAATTGTATGGTTCATGTGACTTCATATACCTTTTTCCAATGCGTTTCAGAGATTTATAATGCTTTTTTCAGGGGTATTAAGGGTTTTCACATCTCTACAATATAATTAGATATATATGATGTTATATTATATTATTACATGCATCTTTCAATATAAATTTAGCTTACATCTGTATGGAATGTTACAAATGACAGCGATACATGAAAACAAGAAGACGTATGGATACAATTAAAAACAATGTATGTTAATTAAAAAAGTAATGATCTTTTAGCAAAATATGTATATTTTTTCTATTTGTTGTGACATACGGTATATGCCTAAAAAATCCCAAGAAAATGGGAATCATTGTTCTTAGTACTGCAAAAGTTACAGGCTTTGTTTTTGGAAGACTCTGCTGAAGAAGCTATTTGAATGAGCAGTGAAACCTCTTCAACATTGGATGTGATAATGGATGTGATTAAGTATTACTGGGTAATATACCAGTCATAAAGCCGTATTAAACCAAAAACCAAAAGTGTAATACAGTATATTGCAGCTTACCAATCCATTATATGTGGTAGCTGCATCTATTTTTCTTTTGTTTTGTTTTTTTCCCCTCTGTTTTCACCTGGTGATCTGGACATTAACACAACTCCAGTATTTGTGAGACGCAACTCTGAAGGAATGAGCTAGGAGACAGCATACAGCAGCATTGTCAGTCGGGGGGGTAGATGGGAGAGTGGCTTCAATTTGTTATTGCATTCAAATTTAATAAACTCCTGCTCACACATCAGTTACAGCAAACCGTTTTTTCCTTTCGGGATAAAGGTTTTGCACGAATAAATAAAAGCTGATCCTTTTAATCACCCCTGCCAGTGGTAAATGGATGGTTTCATCCATGTAAACTGATACATTCTGCTGGTGAGTTTGAACTTCTAAAAAACAGCAGACCTGCTGGCTGAAAGAAAGATTAACCCCTTCACACGCCTAAGGGTAAAAGAAATCTTAACGTCTAAGCACAATTTTGCAACTTTGACATATTTTAGCAAAACCGTACATATCATCTCAACTACTTTGTGCATCCAGGTGGATTATACCTTGTTTTCTTCAGGACAAATTGGGCTTTCATTTGGTGGTAAATGATAGTAGATATCTCCTGATTTTTTTTTTTTTATTATTATCTAAGAAAAACTGGCCCAAAATAGTAAAAAAAATCATTTTTTTTTTCTTAAATTTAGTTGTATATTTCTTGGTATTACGATAACGTACCACCAAAGAACAACCGAAAATAATTTCTCCTGCTCCTCATGATCGCAGCGATACCACATGTATGTTGTTTTGTACCCATAGTACGGCCCAGAAACAATAGTGCGTATTTCGCTTTTTTTTTTATCTTGCCACTATCTGACACTGATACTAATGTAAAAATTTAGAAAAAAGATTCTGTCAAAAAAAATAAAAAATACTGACCCTGACCCTTACCTTGACTCAAACACTAAGCCTGGTAAAGACCTAGATCAAACCTTGAGCTAGGTATTTTCTAAATTTCAAACTTTTTTTTTTTAATTATTATTTATTTATTTTGCACACACTTTGTTGTTTTTTTTTTTGTTTTTTTTTAAAAGGACAGATAGAGACACAGTGATCGTGAATCAGAGGCTATCACAGCGATGAGGTGACCCGGAATCAGAAGTTCCAGGACCCAATAGTTAGAACGGGACCCAGAGCTTTCAGTGAGACCCCGGCCTCTGTGCTGGAAGCGCGTCATGCAGCGACGCTCCCAGCACAAAGACAGGTACGCAAATTAGCAGCCCCACAGAAAAAGCCCAGTCCAGTGGGGCCGCGTATTCGCGTACGGTCGTCGTGAAGGGGTTAAAAAAGAAACTAATACAGCCATCACATCTAAGAATTGGTAAGCTACAATATAATGTTTGCTTTTGGATTTCATGCTGCCTTAAGACACCAAGACAGAGGTATGAGCACAGCAGCAACAGAATTGGTTTAAAATGGAATGTATAGTATATGTTAACACAAACCGTGAACTCTTATTTGCTCAGTTTTGGTCTGCTGAATAATATATTGAAAGTGCTGTATCTGTTTTGATAGGTGCAAAAAGTCTAATCCTGCCAGAAATGTTGGCAGATGATACCTTCTTAGCTCTCTGCCTGTGCTGTATGATTGTCAGTTACTGTATATTGGGCAAGGGGCGCTCTCAGTAGTCCTGTTCTGTTTCTGTTCTGATCAAGAAGGGTGCTTGAGCGAAGTCACCCTGAAATACAGTGCTGTAGTAATGATAAATACATGCACATAAGTGTTCACAGCCTTTGCTCAATACTTTGTTGAAGCACCTTTAGCATCAATTACAGCCTCAAGTAGTTTTGAGTATGATGCTACAAGCTTGGCACACCTATTTTTGGGCAATTTCTCCCTTTCTTCTTTGCAGTACCTCTCAAGCTCCATCTGGTTAGATGGGGAGCGTCGGTGCACAGCCATTTTCAGATCTCTCCAGAGATGTTCAATCGAGTTCAAGTCTGAGCTCTGGCTGGGCCACTCCAGGACATTCACAGAGTTGGCCCGTAGCCACTCCTTTGTTATGTGGGCTGTGTGCTTAGGGTTGTTGCCCTGTTGAAGGCTAATAATATCTCCCTCCTCAATTATATTTTACACACCATGCAATCTAATCTTCTTTTTGATGGATCATAAATAAACCTTACCTAAAGTTTCTGCCATTTAGACCTTTAATTTCTTTCAAAATCCTAAATGCACACCTCTTTTCTGATGATTGTTAGGCCACGTAGAGATGTGACAGATATACAGATGTTTCTGTATATAGTGAATCATAAAAATAAACCATATTTCCATGCTATGAACCAGAGTTCATACAATATTCTAAAAATTGATTAAAACAAAATAAAACATTTTAAATTTTTTAAATCTGTAAAGCCAGATCTGGAATTAATAGGACTTGGAATAAAAATACCACCTGTAATTTGGTTCAAAGTGTTCCTTCCTGTTCCCAGTGTACGCGAGAAACACTTAGGATGTGGCACTAAAATATTACCCATTTTTGGAAGTGATCTAGCACCTGGATACACTCCATTTTTCTTTTTTCTTAGGGTTGTTGTCCTGTTGAAAGATGAACCGTCGCCCCAGTCTAAGGTCCAGAGCGCTCTGCAATGGGTTTTCATCAAGGATGCCTCTGTACATTTCTGCATTCATCTTTCTTTCGATCCTGACTAGTCTCCCAGTTCCTGCCCCTGAAAACATCCCCACAGCATGATGCTGCCACCACCATGCTTCACCGTACGGATGGTATTGGCCAGGTGGTGAGTGGTGCCTGGTTTCCTCCAGACATGACACTTGGCATTCAGGCCAAAGAGTTCAATCTTTGTTTCATCAGACCAGAGAGTTTTGTTTCTCATGGTCTGAGAGTCCCTCAGGTGCCAGGTGGGCTGCCATTATCTTTTACTGAGGAGTGGCTTCCGTCTGGCCACTCTACCATACAGGCTGATTGGTGGAGTGCTTCAGAGATGGTTTTTCTGGAAGGTTCTTCTCTCTTCACAGTGAAACACTGGAGCTCTTCAACAAAGTATTGAGCGAAGGCTGTGAATACCTATGCACATGTTGTTTTTTTTTTTTTTTTTTTTTTTTTATTAAATTGCAAAGATTTCAAAACAAACTTCTTTCATGTTGTCATTATGGGGTATTGTTTGTAGAATGTTGAGGAAACATGAATTTTATCTATTTTGGAATAAGGCTGTAACATAACAAAACGTGGCAAAACTTAAGTGCTGTGAATACTTTCTGGATGCACTGTACATCTAGTTCTGACTCCCTGTATCCAGTGGGGCTGGAATTTGTCTGGGTTGCAGTAGAAGTATTAGTGCATGTATATCTAGTTCTGGCTCACTGTATGCAGTGGAGCTGGCCTTGATTTTTTTGCTGTGATCTGTGTTCCATAGTTTGCATGATTGTTTCCCCCTGTTCACCTGGAGGGTAATAGAGGCAGTAGGATTCTAATCAGTAGCTCAATATTTATGTAACCCAACCAATCCCCAGAAGTCCTCGCCCAGAGGATTCTGGGAGAATGCTAAATTATCTCGGAGCCTAGAGCAGTGGGGTCTATTTCTAAGATCACACCTGGGGGGGGGGGGGGGGGTATTGTATGCCTTCCCTGAGTGCTTCTGCTATGTGTTTGCCATGTGGAGTTACTGAAGGGTACTGAAGCTGAGGGGCTATCCTCTGAGGTTCTAGTCTGGTGCTACTGAGAGCAAGTGCCTGCAGGATACTGGTAAGAGGCATCTATGAATACAGACAAGGGTGAGCGAGCCAAGGGACTGAATGCTGCTGCCACCCCTCTGGTGTACTAGAAATTCAGCTGAGTGTTTGCAAAGTGGACATTGCAACTGGCGTCCCAAAGAGAATAGTCTATCTAATTCTTTGTGAAGCTACTTTGCTTGGATTGTCCACAAAGGAAGATTTTACATCCTCAATACTGTCACTGCAGAGCCTGTCCACTATCTGCTTGTACAGGGACTGGGTTCAGTGTTCTAAGTAAGTTTAGTGTCCTTAAGTTTGTTACTAGGAGTCATTGGAGTATCCCACTAATTCCCACTCCTATTCAAGTTCAAGTGTTTATTAAAGTATCAAAAAATCGTCCCCTAGACCAGTGGTCTCCAAACCAGATGTGGCTTCTTGCTTGCCTTTATACAGCCCTTGGGGCGCTTTTTTCTCCCACTGACACGAACAATGGGGTAATGTTCCTCCTACTTAGTATCAATATTCCCATTGCACACTTTATTGGATAAGGTTTTAGGAGTAGCAGGTGCCTTAGCAACAGCCAGCTGGAACTGGAGACGTCGCACATCAAATACACATATTTAGCAGCACACCACTCATCGTCTAATAATGTCCAAATCTTTATTGAAGAATGATCACATCACAAAAAAAACAATGCAATGTGATAATGCCTGCTGAAAGGGTCCTGCGTGACTACAAAATGTTGCACTATGTTTCATTCTCCAATAAAGATTTGGACATTACTAGACTATTCCTCCTACTGACACCAACAGCAGGTCACTATTCCTCCTACTGACACCAAACATGGAGCACTATTCCTCCCATTAACACCTATGATGGTGCATTATTCCTATGAATGCGCATATATGCAGGCTGGCCTAATGCTGAAAGGACATTCACTTCTCTCAAGCTTTTTGCCTAAATGTATCCTATGAAAGAGGAATTTTCGAAAAATGGAATTTCCAGTAGTAGATCCTGCTATTTTGGTTCAGACCTCTGCAACCAAGCCCCCTTTAGGTGGGGCGAAATGTATCGGTAGGCATGGCTGGAGTGACAGCTGAGGCCATCCACATCATGGTGTCTTCACAGGACTCCTTGGGATGGGTATGAGAGGCGTCCATCCTCTCTCTGCACACTGCTTAGTTTCTGGTACAACTTGGGGCGGTGCTCCCCTCTCCCTTGCCTGGGGGGTGATTGTGTCTCGTCCAGCTTTGAATGGCGCCATATGCTGGCTAAACTGCTAATAGGAGTTTTAAACCCTCCTAAAGACCTCCTTTGACCTTGTCTATTTGCCACACTATTTCAAATTGGATAAGACCGTTAAATATAGAATATGAACTTATCTTTGATGACCCTGTTCTCTTGAAACAATTGCAGCTGATGCCCTAAGCCTTATTTTATGGTGTGGACACAGTAGAGGATGTAATTCACCAATTCTTTAGAAGATCTTTGTGCATGCGCAGGTTTTCTGCCCAATACTAGATGTAAAGTCTCATGACAAATTTCTTTGTGTGCCAGAATTACAGATAGAATCAGCAAGATCTGGCATTGCTTCTCCCAGATAAGGGGAATTTCCAGTGTCAATAAACATACTATGAAAGATCTACTTATCTCCATATCCTCTCTACAGCTGTGCTTTCTATTCTTTGTTGTAGAAGGCCAGCAATTCCAATTTCACTTAAAGTGGTTGTAAATGCCTTTTTTTTTTTCTGAAATAACAAACAGGTTCATGCTTACCTGCTCTGGAATTGCACAGAGCGGCCCCAAACCTTTCCCCTCAGGTTCCCCGTTGGTATTCCTGGCTCCTCTGCTCTGGTGAGTGCCCCCATATAAGACACTTTCTATGGGGGTGCTCATACGGGCTCACTCCCAAGCCTCACTGGCTGTGTCTATAGATACAGACAGTGGGACTCGACCCCACCCCCCCTCCCTCATCATTGGATTTGATTGACATTGCCTCCCATTTGATTCAGCAAAGCTTGTAGGACCATGTAGTGAGGCAACAGAAGAGCTGCAGATGTGCACAGCGCAGCACATCAGCGCCTCAGGTAAGTAAAAGGGGGAGTGAGGGGAGACAGATGCCTAAACATTTTTTACCTTAAAGTGGAGCTTTACCCATAACAACCTGATAAACAATGTTCTTTAACGAGGACATACCAAAATTAGTGTGTGATGTAAATTGCCTCCAGCATTGCTCCTGTTTCTTCTTGCTAGAGGCTGCCATTTTGCTGAAGCCCAGAGCCTGAGCAGCAGTAAATCTTTAAGCTGTCAGCAGATCAGCCTTTAGTGGCTCTGATTTTAGGCACAGTGCTGAAAAATAGAGAGCAAGTGAGCATCTGCAGAGCAGGGTGAGATAGTGTATAACTGGTATTTAAACAGTATTGGCAATTATTTTTAATGGTTTACGTAACTACAGTATACCTGTAAAAGGGGCCAGCTCAAAGTAATCTAACAGGACTTAATTTTCTGACTAAAGTTTCACTTTAATGCAAGAAATGCATTACCGTAAAAAATGTTTGGGAGAACTCACATGTAAGGTTGCCTTCCTGGTAGCCGTAACATGTGTTAGGTGTGTTCTTGAGCTCGCAGCCCTTTACTGTATGCAGCAATTTCTTGTACTGCACAGGGACAAGGTGGTCTTGAGACCAAGACCTTCTTTTCTATTTCTTTGCTCCACCCCAATAATTGTCCTGTCTTTCCTCTGTCTGTCAGGGATCCGGGTGTGACCAGAAATGTGTGGACTGACATAGGGAAGTAGCAGGCTTCAGGAACACAGGCGTAGTCAGGGCTGGAGAGGTGGAATGGTCAGACGGGCCGTAAGGTACCGTCAGGCACCGCCCGGCGGGATCTCTAGTGACCCACAGAACAGGATTCCCCAGGGCGCGGAGTCTAAGCCCCAGTCTGCCTTTTCACCAGAGCCCCTGATGGTGGGCATGGAATTGGCGCAGGACTGAGACCAGGTTGCGACCCCTGAGTGCACCCAACTGTGGTAGAGGGGTCCGCCGAGGGTATGTACCGGGGGAAAGCCTGATGTGAAGGGGCTGGCAGGTTTGCACAGTAGTGACTGGATCCGTGCGGCATGGATGGATCGTCTGGGTAGCGTCAGGCAGGCCAGGTCAGCAACGTGCGGGCAGTGAAGTACTGGAGGAGCAGGCAGAGAATAGTCAGGGTCACAAGCCGGGTTCAGTAACTCATGGGCAGCGCGGTACAGAGGATCAGGCAGAAGGATGGTCAGGCAAGCCAGGGGTTCAACAGGAGACGGTCAGCAGAGGTCAGGATCAAAGCAGGGTCAGCAACTAGGCAGGAACGCAGGATACCAGGTACAGGGGCTTATGGGAAACATCACCAAGGCCCTAACTGCAGGTCTGGCCATTCCTTAAATACACCTCCTGCAATCAGCCCCAGGTGCTGGCTGACTGCAGGAGTGAGCTTCTGGCTGCTGAGAGCACCCGCTGGTCAGCCCTGGTACTGCAGCCCACACAGCAGGTGAGTCCCACCACCAGTGCTGAGTCCATTCCTGACAGTACTCCCCCCCCCCCCCCCCCCCCCCCCCCCCCCCCCCCCCCCCCCCCCCCCAAGGAGCGGCCTTAGGATGCTCCAAACAGTCCGTAGTGGGCAAAATGTTCCACCGCCCGGGTCAGGTAACTGGCTGGATGCTGGATATCTTACTGCCGGAATCAACCGGCTGGCTGGGTTTCCTGCTGGCAGACTTCTCTTTCTGTAGGGCAGTGTTTCTCAACTCCAGTCCTCATGGACCCCCAACAAGTCATGTTTTCAGGATTTCCATTATTTTGCACAGGTGATTTGATCAGTTTCACTGCCTTAGTAATTAACACAGCTGTTTCATCTGAGGGAAATCCTGAAAACATGACCTGTTGGGGGTCCATGAGGACTGGAGTTGAGAAACACTGATGTAGGGGAACCCAGAAAGGCAGGTCGCTGGACACAGGATCTCCAAGAGCAGGCTAGGAATCAGTTATTGGCCAGTTTAGCTGGACATCAGGGGCTGGCACGCCGGGCTGCGCAGCGGGCAGAGGCACGCCGGGCTGCGCAGCGGGCAGAGGCACGCCGGGCTGCGCAGCGGGCAGAGGCACGCCGGGCTGGGCACCAAGTCATCTGGCACAACAGCGGCACCGAGTCGTCGGGCAAGTCAGCGGGCACCGAGCCATCTAGCAGAACCGCGGGCACCGGGTCACCAAGCTCGACAGCGGGCACCGAGTCATCTGGCACGACAGCGGGCACCGAGCCACCAAGCTCGACAGCGGGCACCGAGTCATCGGGCATGACAGCGGGCACCGAGCCATCTAGCAGAACCGCGGCACTGGGTCACCAAGCTCAACAGCGGGCACCGAGTCATCTAGCACGACAGCGGGCACCGAGTCATCTGGCACGACAGCGGGCACCGAGTCATCTGGCACGACAGCGGGCACTGAGCCATCTAGCAGAACCGCGGGCACCGGGTCACCAAGCTCGACAGTGGGCACCGAGTCATCTGGCACGACAGCGGGCTCGACAGCGGGCACTGAGTCATCGGGCACGTCAGCAGGCACCGAGCCATCTAGCAGAACCGTGGGCACCGGGTCACCAAGCTCGACAGCGGGCACCGAGTCATCTGGCAGGACAGCGGGCACCGAGTCATCTGGCAGGACAGCGGGCACCGAGTCATCTGGCAGGACAGCGGGCACCGAGTCATCTGGCACGACAGCGGGCACCGAGTCATCTGGCACGACAGCGGGCACCGAGTCATCTGGCACGACAGCGGGCACCGAGTCATCTGGCACGACAGCGGGCACCGAGTCATCTGGCACGACAGCGGGCACCGAGTCACCAAGCTTGACAGCGGGCACCGAGTCACCAAGCTTGACAGCGGGCACCGAGTCATCAGGCTGGATTGGGTCATCAGGCTGGGTAGGAACATTAGGCCGGGAAGCGTACACTGGGTCATCAAGCATCAGGGCATCAGGCTGAGTTGCGGGCGCCGGGGCACCAGGCTGAACAACAGAAGGCGGGTTCTCAGACGGCAGGCTGACCGATTTAGATACTTGCAGGATTGTACTGCTTGGAAAGAATTTTTGCCTTTTCCTGGTTTTAGTTACTGGAGCACTGTAAGTAAATGCAGGTCTGTAAATGGATAGAGCAGCTGAAGGCGGAGAAGAGCTGGGGGATGGAACAAAGGAGCAAGTAGTTGCTACAGATGACTTCTTTACAGGGTTAAAGGCAGGATAGGTGCAGCGAGTGGGAATAGGCGACTGACATGTGGTAGATAGCAGGGTATACAGGGCTGTCATTGGGGGTGCTGTCGGGAATGCAGGAATAGAGCTTTGAGCAGAGGAATGATGAGAAGCAGGACTGGATTGTTGCAAGCTAACTGAGGCTGGGTGTAACAAGTCTGACCAGGACTGTAGTATTGGTTGAACAAAGCTCAGCTTGCACATAGCCTGTCTGACTAAAGACTGCACTGCGTTTATACAATCCATTAGCACCTGTGGTGAACATGCTGAATAATGCTGCAAGAAGCAATCCACATGCTGCAGGAGTGAGCTTCTGGCTGCTGAGAGCACCCGCTGGTCAACCCTGGTACTGCAGCCCACACGGCAGGTGAGTCCCACCACCAGTCCTGACACTGTCCCTCTCCAAAACACACGAAGGAAATGTCCTTGCATGGCTGAGACAGGGCTGTTAGGGTCTAGTTGTAGCTACTGCTTCTATCTTCAAGACTGTGCCCTTTTTTTTTACCTACAGGCTCTTGTAGAGGACATCCTGCCTCCTGCTCCACCATTGCCAGGTGGATAAAACAACCTATTTGCAGGGCCCCTGCCCTTAGGAACAGTGTTTCTCCTTTCAGTATCAGAGCTCAATTCACCAGATTGTTGGTTCTTTTTGGGCTTTAACCAATTTGATGTTCCGGCCTCCACTTAGGCAAGCTTTAGCCACAAGGTGCTTCAAGCTGTCATCTGAGTAATTTTTTTTTTTCTTTTGAGTTCTTGCCCTTATTTTTGTTGGCCTTTTGGCAGTTCTGTTTGCTATATCGTTGCCCACCCCTCAGTTTATTGCTTTGTGACATCTCATGTTCATTGACTTCAGCCCGATTTTAAGATAAAGGGAATTTTGACTTGCCTGTAAATTCTTTATCTTGGAGTACAGTACAGGATACAGGACCCTCCGCTTTGTTCCTTTGGTCAATCCTTGTTGCTTGGGGACATCCCATGGTTAATTACTACAGACCTGTGTCCTGTACTGTATGGTTATGATAAACGGAATTTTGACTTGTGTTTAAATTCTATATCTTGGAGTATAGTACAGGACACAGGATCCTCCTGTCTGTTTCTGTGGTCATTCTCTATTGCTTGCCAAAAAAATGGAGCCTCAAAGAGTGAGTGGGGTTTTATGAGCATGGGGTAGCCCTAGCAAAGACCTTTTGTTAGTGTCCAGTGACATGAGGTAGTCTGTATATAACCCATTCTCTATGACTACAATGATTACAGTCCTGTACTGTACTCCAGGATACGGCATTTACAAGGACATCCTTTATTTTATTTTTTTTTATAAACAAACTTTTTACAAATTATTTTTAATGTGGTTGTAGACCCTTATCTATAACCACTGAAGTAACTTGCCTCAGATACACATTGTATCATCATAGATTTTAAATCCTCTTACATGAGCTGTACATGTTTATCCACAGCCCTCTTCTCTGTGCCGCCTATCAAAGAGTGCAATTTCAACAGCTTTCAGAAAGCGGCGGGGGGGGGGGGGGGGGGGGGGGGGGGTGGGTGGGGGCAGGGAGCTGAAATTACACAAAGGAGTGAGGCAGCAGAAAGATATGCCGCTTGGTGTTCTCAGCTGAGACAAGCACACACTAGAGAGGGATATGTTTTGTCCATATTTTATGTCTGAGGTTTACAATACAAACGCTTTAAGTGAAGTCTGAACTCCATGTTAGAAACTATTGGTCCAGCATTGTATGTGATGACAGCGCAACAGGCGGCTGTACTTTAGAAATGGGCTTTGGGCAAGCAGACACATAGGATAGAGGAAGCCTGCCAAAGCTGGGAGAGATGAAAGCATTACACCTTATTCCTCTACCCTTAGACATAACAAGCATTAAACCCTTTCAGTTTAGGGGACCTTGATTAGAGTGGGACTTTAACAAACTTAAAGTGATTCTAAAGGTTGTAATTAACCACTTGGCAACCGCGCTATAGCTGAATGATGGCTACAGTACGGTTGTCCAGTTCTGGGAGGGCGTCATATGACGTCCTCCCAGAATGGCCCCTCCCGTACGCCCACAGCGGCATGCACCCGGTGATCTCTGATCGTCATGTCCTATGGACACAGCTGATTACGTGATGTGGTAAAACGCCAATCACAGCGGCTTTTTACCATGTGATCAGCTATGTCCAATGACACAGCAGAACACTGGGTAAATACAGTTGCCAGTTATTGGCTGCACTTTCCTCACGCTGTCACAGCGTGAGGAAAGTACTGCCGATAACCGGCAATTGTTAGAGAACAGATCGGCACAGATCATCAGGGCACTGATGATTAGTGCCCTGATGATCAATGCCCAGCAGTGCTGCCCCCCAGCAGTGCTGCCCATCAGTGCAGCATCATCAGTGTCAGCTCATCAGTGCTGCCTATCAGTGCAGCTTCATCAATGCACATCAGTGAAGGAGAAAAATTACCTGTTTTGCAAAATTTTCAGTGGCAATTAAATAACACCAAATGAAAGCTCTGTTTGTGAGAAAACAATTATAAAAATATCATATGGGTACAATGCTGCAAGACCGCGTAATTGTCATTCAAAGTGCGACATTGCTGAAAGCTGAAAATTGGCCTGGGCAAGTGGTTAAAAAAAAAAAAAAAAAAAAAAAAGGAAAACTTATTTGCTCTGTGCCATGGTTTTGCACAGAACAGACCTGATCCTCTTCCTTTTGGGTCTCCTGCCAAGTTTCCTCAATATAAAGTATAGTTCTTGTATGGGGACACTCAAGCGAGCTTTCTTCACACACACACACTGCATCCAGGTTTTTTATCTTAATGCATACAATGCATTTAAGATAAAACCCCTTCTGCCTTTAGAACCACTTTAAGCACTTCCTGCATTTCTTTGTTCTTTTTTTTTTTTATTACTTTTTTTCTTTTCTAGGATTTTATTTTGGTGATAGAATTTCGTTTATGTACCTGTCACACACAATGTACAATTGTTTTTTGAATTGAGGAATGTAAAGGGGCATTGGCACTGGGAAGACAACAAGCTTTGTACTGAGATAAAGCAAGTTATGTGTAAACTCCCTACTAAGAGCAGAGGTCTCTGGGACCAAAAACAGGAAGATGAATTTTGGTCTTTTACCATGCAACATTATGTTATATTTATATGGTTACTTGTAAAATTCTAACATTCATTATTTATCTTTCTACAGTGGATCCTGGAGCCATCTGGATGTTGCAAGGCTGGCTATTTGTTAATAATCCAACTTTCTGGAGACCGGCACAGATTAAGGCCCTTCTCCATGGCACCCCAATTGGGAGAATCATAGTTCTGGACTTGTTTGCAGAAACTATTCCTGTTTATCAGTACACAGAGTCTTTTTATGGGCAACCATTCATTTGGTGCATGCTGCATAACTTTGGTGGGAACCATGGTTTATTTGGAAAAGTCGAGAGTGTAAATAAAGGACCCTTTGATGCCTTGTCCTTCACCAACTCTACTATGATCGGAACAGGACTTACCCCTGAAGGCATTGAGCAGAATGACATGATATATGAGCTGATGAATGAAATTGGTTGGAGATCCAAGCCTGTCAATCTCACTGTATGGATCTCTGATTATTCTGACAGGCGTTATGGCCAGAAACATCCCTATGCACGGGCCGCATGGCAGTTGCTTCTAGGTAGTGTGTATAACTGTACTCAGGACTGGAAGGATCACAATCACAGTCCTTTAGTGAGACGGCCATGTCTAAATATGAACACAAATATTTGCTACAATAAAACTGACCTGTATGCAGCTTGGAAATTAATGCACCAAGCAGGTACTTCCTTGGCAAATAGTAGCACTTTCCTCTATGACTTGGTGGATGTTACCAGGGAAGCTATGCAGCTGCTGGTTACTGAATATTACCAGGAGATCAAGACTGCTTATAAAAATGAGGATCTAGAAAGAGTTATGACAGCAGGTGGCCTGTTGGTGTATGATCTCCTGCCTGAACTTGATAATCTGCTTTCCAGCCAATCTCAGTTTTTGCTTGGCCGATGGTTAGAGTCAGCTCAGAAGATGGCAAGCACCAAAGATGAGGCTATTCTGTATGACATGAATGCTCGTAACCAGATTACATTATGGGGTCCCACTGGCAATATTTTGGACTATGCCAACAAGCAACTAGGGGGGCTAATTCAAGATTATTATAAAAAGCGTTGGCGTCTCTTTCTGTGGTACTTAGTTGAGAGTCTTAATACAGAAGTACCCTTCCAGCAAAGCAAGTTTAATCAGGCTGTCTTCACTGTGGAAAAAGGGTTCACCTATAATGGCAAGACCTATAGTTCCACTCCCACTGGAGACACCATTGCAATAGCCAGAAATATTTTTATAAAGTATTTTCCAAAAAAATAAGATATATATACCACCCAAGGTGATACAATACCGTACATTTTTTTTTTTTTTTTAGGAAAACAGACATTTTAAGCAGAATTTTGGAGTTACTAAGTTTTTTTTTTTTGTATTATTTGATGAAGTAACATGCATTGAGCAGTGAAACATAAAACGTGCATAAAGTCATACAGATCACACACCAGACACATTTTTTTTACAAACAATAGAACAAACTTTGAACAGTACTGTTTGCCAAAAGTTAGTTTAGTAATGAATGTTTTCACTTAAAGCTGAACTCGAGGAAAAATATTAATTTAAATAAACATCCTAATGGTCACAAATGTGTAAATCTTTCTGAGCACCTTTTTACCCTTGCAAGTCAAGTTATCACCATGTAAAAGTAGCAGTGACATCATCCCTGTGCTCCACACATCGTGTGCAAAAAGTATAGCTGTGGGAGGTGCCCAGAAGCTTTTCCCACCACATGCTGGTGGATAAAAAGACCAGGATACCCTACACATGGATAGGAAGCAGCAGTGACTGTTTTTTTAGTGCAGGAAGTTCCTGCTCAAAGGAAAAGTTTCACACTAGATTACTGCACAGATCTGGAAGAAACACACAAAGCACACCAAGATTCAAGGAAAAATACACTTGTCCTGTAATCCTGCAGTTTAGCTCTAAAGCCAAAATGAACTCTCAATTCAAGTCAACTAAATATATTACAGATGCATCAAAACAAAAGGTGAGCAAAGTCTTACAGTTTGTTTTTTTTAGAATGCAGCTGCAGCCTGAGCAGAAAAGCCTTTGCTCTGCAAGACTAGAGATGAACCCCTGCTCTATATACAGAAGCCGTGATCTCTCTGCAGTGCTCTGACAAACCCCCTGCTGATTCAGAGCTGGAGCTCTCCAGCTTGCAAAGCTCATGTTCACTGGTGATTTAACCCTTATGCCACCACTAACATATGTCATACCTCAGCAGAAACGGGCTTTTATACACACTCCTTCCTGCTATAGTTGTCAGGAATTCATGTAAATGTCACTAGCCAACTGTTGACTTTTAGATTAATTCTATATGGCAGCTGTACAGCTACTGGATCACTTCCTCGGTCTCCTAGAATGTGTCCATCCCCCATGAGACCTGTCTGTCATGTTTTTCGGGCTCTGCTGTCCCATTTGTGGACTTTTAACCTGTAGAGATGGGAAAGCCTGGAAAAAGAAACACAGAAAAAAATGGGGGAAAATTATTTTTCCAAAGCCATTTTCTTTTTCTTGAAAAAATTATAAAATATATATATAAAACATGAGTGTGTAATGTGCGCTTAATATAATACATTTTATATTTTATGAAATGGTATTCAAACTATATAACATGAAGACCATAATGAAAGATTCCTGAGACTTTATGTAAAGTCTAAATTATTAAAGTTCTCTCAGCTGAAGATAAGAAAATCCTGGAATATAATTCAAGTAACACTGTATGCCGTCAAGTAACACAAGTAACACAGTTATTCAAGTAACACTCAATGCCGTTCTCAAACAAAATAAATATGCATTTCTGCCACTATGGGACACTGCAGGGAAAAGGATCCAGTTTAGTTGCGTGTAGGCTCCATCCTGTACCTCCTACAGTTGGGGGATTATTGGGATACAGTAGATGATTTTTTTTTCTGTCCTCCTCTCAGGCATCAAATGACAGGTAAGAGGGTAAATTTGACAAATTAGGTTACCTTTATAACCTTTAAATGATTCCTATAAATGTTCTCCACCATCACAACATAATGTTTTTCTATAGTCTGCTCAGTAAATTAATTTTTCTTTTCCTCCTCTCAGTAATACTGTATGGTGAGACCAACATCCAGAGTTTGAAAACATTTCTACAATGCAATTTCTGCTGAGAGCAAAGCTGTAATTTTCAATTTAACAAAATTACTTTCAATTTGTATAACTACCCCACACTGATTTTGTTTTAAATTTTTCTGAAAATCTTCATTGTTTATTTCCATAAAAAAAATTGAGGAAAATGTTTAATTCTCATGGCTTCAAAATTTCCAGAAAGTTTACATGTCTAAACCTGCATGACAGGAGTAACCAGGTAGAGGTGAGGGGAGACCAGTAAATGTCTATTCACTGATCTCCCCTAACTAGTAGGAACCTGGAAGCAAAGTGTATTATGCCATTTCTGGTTTTGGCTATCAGAAGGTAATAGAGGATAATATGGGGAGCTTAGGGTAGACATCATCCCTCATGTACATACATATATAACCACACACGGTGGGGGTGCACTTGGTTATCTGACTTCCATAAATAAATGTGGAAATATGCAGCGCTAAAATACATATGCATATAAATATGAATGTTGATAAACATGAGAGAATTCTCACAGCACAGCAATCACAGAAGTCGCAATTTATACCATATTGACTATCACTTTTGTCGCTATATGCACCTAATGGAATTTTTCCAATGACTGGTCTCTTCTCCTTTGCGCGTTGTTAAACACTGAGTTGGGAACATTGATTCATTATCAATATCATGTTTATCAACATTCATATTTAATGAATCAATGTTCCCAACTCAGTGTTTAACAACGCGCAAAGGAGAAGAGACCAGTCATTGGAAAAATTCCATTAGGTGCATATAGCGACAAAAGTGATAGTCAATATGGTATAAATTGCGACTTCTGTGATTGCTGTGCTGTGAGAATTCTCTCATGTTTATCAACATTCATATTTATATGCATATGTACAGTGGGGATCGAAAGTTTGGGCACCCCAGCAAAAAATTTGTATTAATGTGCACAAAGAAGCCAAGGAAAGATGGAAAAATCTCCAAAAAGCATCAAATTACAGATTAGATATTCTTATAATATGTCAACAAAAGTTAGATTTTATTTCCATCATTTACACTTTCAAAATAACAGAAAACAAAAAAATGGCATCTGCAAAAGTTTGGGCACCCTGCAGAGTTAATATCTTGTACTGCCCCCTTTGGCAAGTATCACAGCTTGTAAACGCTTTTTGTAGCCAGCCAAGAGTCTTTCAATTCTTGTTTGAGGTATCTTTGCCCATTCTTCCTTACAAAAGTCTTCCAGTTCTTTGAGATTTCTGGGCTGTCTGTCACGCACTGCTCTTTTAAGGTCTATCCATAGATTTTCAATTATGTTGAGGTCAGGAGATTGTGAAGGCCATGGCAAAACCTTCAGTTTACGCCTCTTGATCTAATCCCCCGTGGATTTCGAGGTGTGTTTGGGATCATTATCCATTTGTAGAAGCCATCCTCTCTTTAACTTCAGCTTTTTCACAGATGGCATCAAGTTACCATCCAAAATTTGCTGAAATTTTATTGAATCCATTTTTCCTTCTACCCGTGAGATGTTCCCTGTGCCACTGGCTGCAACACAACCCCAAAGCATGATTGATCCAACCCCATGCTTAACAGTTAGACAGAGGTTCTTTTCATTAAATTCTGTGCCCCTTCTTCTCCAAACGTACCTTTGCTCATTCCGGCCAAAAAGTTCAATTTTAACCTCATCGGTCCACAGAACTTGTTTCCAAAATGCATCAGGCTTGTCTATATGTTCATTTGCAAAGTTCAAACGATGATTTTTGCGGTGAGGACGTAGAAGAGGTTTTCTTCTGATGACTCTTCCATGAAGACCATATTTGTACAAGTATCTCTTTATAGTGGAATAGTGTACCACAACTCCAGTGTCTGCCAGATCTTTCTGGAGGGATCGTGCAGTCAAACGTGGGTTTTCAATTGTTTTTCTCACAATCCTGCAAGCTGTTCTGTCTGATATTTTTCTTGGTCTTCCAGATGTTGCTTTAACTTCCACTGTTCCTGATGACTGCCATTTCTTAATTACATTCCGAACAGAGGATATTGACATCTGAAAACGCTTTGCTATCTTCTTATAGCCTTCTCCAGCTTTGTGAGCGTCAACTATTTTCAGTTTCAGTTTTCTAGACAACTGCTTAGAAGAACCCATGGTGCTGATTGTTGGGGCAAGGTCAGATGAGTCTGGGCATTTAAAACCTTTGAGATTGACATCACCTGGTCTTCCCAGACGATGATTGAGAACAATCCATGACACTGGCAGGTCTCAGCTTTGCAAAGGGGGCAGTGCATGCTATAAATTCTGCAGGGTGCCCAAACTTTTGTAGACGCCATTTTTTGTTTTCTGTTATTTTGAAAGTGTAAATGATAGAAATAAAATCTAACTTTTGTTGACATATTATAAGAATGTCTAATCTGTAATTTGATGCCTTTTGGAGATTTTTCCATCTTTCCTTGGCTTCTTTATGCACATTAATACAAATTTTTAGCTGGGGTGCCCAAACTTTCGATCCCCACTGTATTTTAGCGCTGCATATTTCAACATTTGTTCTTTATTGGAGGATTCTGAGGTTCTTCCTCTTTATGCTGGCAGCTATCCATCTGTACCACAACCCAGCGCGTATATATTTTGTCTTTTTTAGTATCTGACTTCCATGTTGAAGCCAACGTCCATATTGTTTATGTGATGTCAATCAACAAACAAACCCACATTTTTAACAATAACTCCTACTGTGACATATGAGCATCTACTGAACTCATTCTGGATGAGCAGGTATTTTAGTTTATAGACATAAATAATTCTGGACTGGAATAATTTTTTTTATTTTCTTAGGAGAAAATGAATGCATTACATCTTTTGTATTCATGTGTTTATAGAGTAAAAATGAGCAGCACTGTTGCTCTCTCTCTCTTTTAGTAGGCTCTCACCTTTTCATGCAATTCTATTTTCTGGGTCTGCTTGCCAGTGCTGTCATTTTCTTTTTACGTGTTTCACTTAGGGCCTCTGATACTACAAGGGATGTTCAAGTCAATCAGGGACTTTTGAATTTATATAATAAAGGACAAGTTTCAAGAAGTAGAAACCACATTTATTTTTTTACATATTCCCCTGCGACATTTATACACTTATCCCAGTGTTTAACCATTTGACAACCGGCTATAGCTGAATGACGGCTAGAGCGCAG